ATTCCTTCCAGTAGCACCTCAATGACCAACTAAGTTAGTTCTTGGTATGCACACGAAAGCTCATACCAAGAACTAACTTAGTTGGTCTTTAAGGTGCTACTGGAAGGAATTTTTTTTTGTTTTGACTATGGCAGACCAACACGGCTACCTATCTGTAACATATAGCATACAGTCACTTCCGGGTTTCGCCGCTTGTGCATTCGCTCAAAATGACGTTACGCACATGTGCAGAAGTGGCGAATCGTGACCCGCGCACGCCCAGATGCGGGTTGCATTTGCTTCAGGATGTGCACGGGGCTCTGGAACGGATCCCGTTTGCATCCAGAGGTACCACTGTCTATTCAACACCAAAAACAGCGACAATTTGTTGTTGACAAAGGACAGCTGGACTTATAAAGGGCCCCGTTACCTTCAGTAGCTTAAAGGTAAAGGGACCCCTGACCATTAGGTCCAGTTGTGACCGACTCTGGGGTTGCAGCACTCATCTCGCTTTATTGGCCAAGGGAGCCGGCGTACAGCTTCCGGGTCATGTGGCCAGCATGACTAAGCCCCTTCTGGCGAACCAGAGCAGCGCACGGAAATGCCGTTTACCTTCCCGCCGGAGTGGTACCTATTTATCTACTTGCACTTTGTGCTTTTGAACTGCTAGGTTGGCAGGAGCAGGGACTGAGCAACGGGAGCTCACCCCATCGCGGGGATTCAAACTGCTTAGGGCCTCATGAAACCTCAATCCGGCCACAGAGAATCTTCTTCGCATGCAAGAGGTCCAAGCGATCAATCTCTACCTCATCTCCAGGGAATGTCCAGGTGGCGTTGACCGTGGGAAAAAGTGATTTCCTTTACTCTGTCGTTTTACGCAGACCCATCATCACTGAACTGACAGCTCGAATTTCAAGTTGGGCTGAATTCAAAGGCTTCTTCATTTTTCGTTCTCTTCCTGCTCTCCCAGGCAGGTAAATATCTCCTTGACCTAAAACTTTGCCTTTGGACTGATGATGGTGACTGCAAACATTTAATCCGAAGGACTGGCGTGACCTCTAGCGGAGAAGGAAGAAAACTACATCCGACCCCCACATGGTGCGGGTTTTGAGCAGATGTATAACACAATTAAAGAACCTTTTGTTTAGGGTGAAAGAGGAGAGTGCAAAATATGGTCTGAAGCTCCACATCAAAAAAACGAAGATCATGGCCACTGGTCCCATCACCTCCTGGCAAATAGAAGGGGAAGAAATGGAGGCAGTGAGAGATTTTACTTTCTTGGGCTCCATGATCACTGCAGATGGTGACAGCAGCCACGAAATTAAAAGACGCCTGCTTCTTGGGAGAAAAGCAATGACAAACCTAGATTTTCTTAAAAAGCAGAGGCATCACCTTGCCAACAAAGGTCCGTATAGTTCAAGCTATGGTTTTCCCAGTAGTGATGTATGGAAGTGAGAGCTGGACCATAAAGAAGGCTGATCGCCAAAGAATGGATGCTTTTGAATTCTGCTGCTGGAGGAGACTCTTGAGAGTCCCATGGACTGCAAGAAGATCCAACCTCTCCATTCTGAAGGAAATCAGCCCTGAGTGCTCACTGGAAGGACAGATCCTGAAGCTGAGGCTCCAAGACTTTGGCCACCTCATGAGAAGAGAAGACTCCCTGGAAAAGACCCTGATGTTGGGAAAGATGGAGGGCAGAAGGAGAAGGGGACAAAGGAGGACGAGATGGTGGGACAGTGTTCTCGAAGCTACCAGCCTGAGTTTGACCAAACTGCGGGAGGCAGTGGAAGACATTACTACCTTTGTTGTGAAATCTTAATAAGGATAA